GCATAACTTATAAAGTGAGTGTTGAAAAATTAAAAGTGTCATTTGAAATCGCTAATGTGCTCAAATCCTCATTTGTCTATGCTCATTTCGTTTAAGTGTTATGCTCATTTGGTATGTGAGAGAGATACAAGAAGGGTTGGATTGATATGCCAGGTCAATATCACTGGAACCTAGCCTATACAAAGCATTAACGTTGACATCTAGAATCTTTGCAGCACCGGAGATGGAGGAACGACGACATACCAGAGACGCCTGAATTTTGACGGACGAAGCGGCAACGATTGGGCAACCCAAGTGAGACTCGAACAAATCAGGTTGCAGCAAGATGAAATTCTCTCTTGGTCAGATTGCATCAAGGGAAGAACTTTTCTCGTCGGTTAATGGTGATGGTGAAGCTCGGAGAGATGGCAGATGGTGAAGGTTGAGCGATGATGTCGATGGTGAAGGTTCAATGTGCAACAGATATGGAATGGGAGAATAAGACTCATAGTTGAAGAGAACCACAAAAATACCGGGTGTATAGGTACACCCGGGACTCCGGGAGATGCCCATGTTTGGTTCGCGGGATGAAAAAATCGGAAAAGTTATATTCTCGAGAATGTAATATGGAGAGGATGTTATCCATCTATGCCTGAGGTTATCTGACATCCCCGGAAATGACCTAATTTTCATCCGAAATACCCTCATTTAATTATCTCCCTTCATTTAATTTCTTTTTTATTCTCTCACTCATAGATTCTCGTCCATTATTCTTCAGTCAACGTAATTGCTCTTAATCTTTTACTTTATATATCCAACTTTTATCAAATCTGATTTTTTGTGACTTTATAAATCTTTTAATGTAGTTCCCGAATATGTAAATTTTATTTTCTAAAAATAATCTTATTATTGACAAGGATCAATGAATTTTATTGGTCAATTAAAATGTCATAAATTATATACGATAGTACTACGTATATACCTATATACTATTGCATTCCGATGAATTTCACACTGCAATTTGATCATATAGGATTATAGGGTGCACAATTTCACGCAAGTGATACAATTTTTGCAATGCTAGAAAATTTAATTTAGGGAAAACTGTCAATTAGGCCCTCATACTATGGGCAAACCGTCAATTACGCCCTCTTACTTTCAAAACCCTCAATTGAGCCTGCAAAGTCTCCAAAAACAGTCAATTAAGTACTCCCTCCGTCCTGAATTGAATTGCAAACTTTGACCGGCACAAGGATTAAGGAATGACAATAAATGATGCTTGCTTTTTACACTTTTGCCCATCTTTCTAAAAGTAGATGCCTTTAAGTTAATGAGGAAAAAGTAAAAGTAAGGGTAAATTTGTCACTTTATTCTTATTTACATACCTAAAGTAGAAAGTGGAAAACCATTTTGGGACAACCAAAATAGGAATTTTTGCAAATCAAATTGGGACGGAGGGAGTATACATTACTGGTTGTCTCACGATTTGCCTGTTGCCCGCTCACGCGGCGCTTACGTGGACGTCGTCTACCGGTCTTAACATGCTGAATCAATTATTTTTTTACACATTAGTTTACTTCCCTATTCATTCCCAATTAACACCATTGTAGCCCTAACCTTGATTCGAACCTTAATTCAAAGGTCTGTGAGAAGAAAAGCATTTAAGCACTATCGAGGTTGTTGATCAATTTATCAGCGTGGACTTGAAGAAGAGAAACATTAGGTTAGTTTATTTTTGTCTCTTATCGTATTCATATGAGGATGATGATTTGTCTTCGTTGATTGTTTGACTGATTGCGCTTTCATGAGTCAAAATGAAGTCTTTGTTTGTGATGATTTCATTATGTTATGCGATGCTCATTTGCACTTGTGAAACATTCACATGGGTCTATGTTGTTGAAGTGATAGAAATTGAAATCTTATATGAATATTTTCATATGCACAACATGTTCAACAAAGTGGAAATAATAATTCACCATGGAGGAAATTTTGTGTTTGTTCCTATATCAATGTACATTGGTGGTGAAGTAGATGTGTTAGCCATAGACCCATATTTGATTTGCTATCCTCATTTAATGAAGTGCTTAAAAACAAGAAGTTATGGTAAAATTAAGGCTTTGTATTACAAAAAACCAAGCCAGGCTATGAAATCTTTAAGAGAGTTGTTCGATGATAAGCCAACCCTTCATCTGATACGTGTGGCTAGTAGTTGTGGACAGTGTGACATATTTGTGGACCATGGGTTAGATGAGGTGGAATTGGTGGAACTTCTCACTGCACCTGAACCATTTGAACCAAACATTTCACTGGACCAACAACCTGAAATACATGACAAGGACTTAGAGTTTGACACAGATGTGAGTGGAGTAGTGGAACAAACTCAAGAAGTAGATGGAACGTGTGATGCAGGCACAAAAGATCCTGGACAAGAGGAAGTGGCAATGAGTTATGATGCAGCCTTGCACACTGGTATGGAAGAGAAGTGGTAGAAAGAGGTGGCCTTGATGATGTTAGTACACACAAAGATGGTGAAGTACAAGATGAGGATGCGCATGAAGAAACAGATGAAGTGGCAGAAAGAGGTGGCCTTAATATTGCTAGTACACACAAAGATGGTGAAGTACAAGATGAGGATGCACATGAAGAAATAGATGATTCATGGAAGTCAGACGAATTTGAGACAGATGAAAATGAAGTAAGTGAACATCAAGAAAGTACAAACAAAGATGGTGAACGTGTACTATGCATTATTGGTTATGACAGATTACTTGGACTACCTTTATGGCTTTGTTTGTACGTTGACAGTGATATACATATATTGTAGGGAAATAAATTATTGCATTCAATGTGAGTCCTTTTAATTATATGCACATTCACTGTGGTACAAACATTGTAATGGTGGTGTATTTGCTTTATGAGATTCCTTTTCTTAATATTTACATTCATTGTGCTAGAAACAATATAATGATACCCCAAAGAAACACTAAATGACAGCTTGTTCATAATCAAACAAAACCTTAAATAAGGACGATCAATTAAACACTGAATTGCAGGTTGTTCACAATCAAAAAGTGCTATCACACCACCCTACATTACATCACACATCTAACCACTTCAAAGACAACACACGGGTGGTGAACTTGTTAAAACTGATAAAGTATTACATAATAGAACTTCAATTACAGTTCAAGTTTCCTATCCTACATAGAATTTTGCTACAGGGCTACAACCAAGCCTATGACAAAGAACTTCCTACGCCTTTTTATGTCCTTCACCTCATTTTCAACAAAGCTTTTCACAGAGTGTACATCTGCTTGAACATGTCTTAATCATTGGACAAGGCCTTCAACCATGGTCTTAACTTCATCCAGTTTATCTTTCTTGTCGTCGGGCCTGATTATGTCTTCTCTTCCTAGGTCATCCTTCCATAAGAAGTAGCCGCAACCATCACCCTGAACACAGTACCAATACACTTTCGCACTTCAAAATCCTTTGCACATGTATCATATTTTCTCGGAAACATGTAATTTAATTTGTACATGTATCAAAATAACTTCAAAAAAATCAGTGAACATACTATGAATTACAAAGGAACATAAAATGTAATTTCATTTCACTATTTACCAGCCATTTTTGACAACCATAAAATTGTCTCCCGCTCTCCCTTCCAACACATAGCGAGGCTTTCAATCCACACCAACAATACACTGCAAGCTCGTAATTAGTACTGCTTTTTCGTTCTTTTGTACTCGTTGATGTAGACGACGACATTGATAGTCACGAGGTCAGGAAATGGAGAAGAAGAATGACGTACTATTAGGGCATATGGCTCGTAATTGGGGAAGATAAGGTCTCTATTTAATTGGGAATGGATAGAGAATTAAAGTGATGTGTAAAAAAATAATTGAGTCAGCTTGTTAAGACCGGCAGACGACATCAACGTAAGCGCCAGGTGAGCGAGCAATGGGCAAATCGGGAGACAACCGGTAATGTAGACTTAATTGACTGTTTTTGGAGACTTGGCGGGCTCAATTGAGGGTTTTGAAAGTAAGAGGGCGTAATTGACGGTTCACCCATAATACGAGGACCTAATTGACAGTTTTCCCTTTAATTTATTATTTATACATGTAAAATGTCACCATATTTTTATTCAAATCCATGCCTTAATAGGAAAATCATAAGTGTGATGTACTGGATATATTCATATTTTTCATAGGAATGACACGAACCAAATTGTTTCTCATACTTTAAAATTTTATCATGCTAAGCAACTTGTCCACCCAAAAAGCTTACATAGCACATATTTCTGGACTCAAGTAAATGTTCTTTAATCTGCCAAAATGCATATTGTTTCATATGCCAATATCGGCTAAAGGTATAGAGTGCATGCCCATAGCCTTAGCCCTTAGTCACAGAAGGGTTTTGACTTTTGACAAACATAGCCTTACATTTGTTTACTAACTGGAGACTAGCGAGTCTGCATTTGCCTTTGTATTCTTGTAGGAGTTGTAGCCAATCAAACAAGGTGCATGCCCATCAAGGCATCAATACGACTAGGGATGGACTAAACCGGGTCGGCCCGACCCGGAAACGGCCCGGCCCGTTACTGTTTGGGCCCGGACCGGGACCGGGACCGGTTGGCCGGTTCCGGGCTTTTAGCCCATTTGGGCGGGCTCGGGCGGGCCGGGCTCGGGCCCAACTTTTGGTGAACCGGCCCGGGCGGTTCGGGCCAGGCCCGGTTCAATTTTTTTTTTTTCATTTTTTTTTCCTTTTCTAGGTTAGGGTTGGGTGTTTTGGGGGGGGTTTGGGGGGGTGGGGGTGAAGGGGGGGGGTCAGGTATTGATTAGAAACCAAAAAAAAAATGAACTTGACCCGGGCCCGGCCTGGCCCGGACCCGGTATCAACCCGGGCCGGTTCCGGGCCCAACATTTTGCAAAAAAAGCCTGCCCGGGCCCGGCCCGGAACCGGAACTGGACCAGCCCGGGTCCATCCCTAAATACGACTATCTCAACCTCTCAAGCTAATTAGCTAAAAACAATTTACACATTCATCAAAACTTCTTGGTGTGATACTCAGGCAAAAGTCCTACTTTAATTACAAAAAAAAAACTTTCACTACTATTATATCTCACTTTCATAGTATATGAAACTTTGTTTACATAATGTATCAACTATGGGGACAAATAAAGATTTAAGTATTCATTATGAAGTCAACCTTTATCGCACTGAATTAGATATTCGCACGTACTGCAAGAGTCTCTGTAAGGCATTACCACTGTCTATGGCCTCTCTGGCTCGCGCAAGGGCAATGGGTACATCTTCAGCTCCTTCACACCCAAGTAAATGGTCAACCATTCCAGCATTTAAAACAATTCGGTCATATGCTGGACCTTTCTCTCCTTGCAGAGCAGCTAAACCCAATTCTATATTTCTTGCTACCTGAGATGTTTCAAAGGAAAATTTGTTAAACCTTTTTACTGTTGTCATTCTTGTTGGATGTAAAAGTATTAGCTTCACCCCCAATAGAATTGGTAGGTTCAACAAAGTTTGCACTTCCGTGCATAACCATCAAAAACAAATTGGGAACTTTTCTCGAACTAGGTTGGAGCAACTACACACCGATGTTGCAAACAGAATTCTGCTCTTTCAAAAGCAACATATCTGGGTGTTTGGCTACGTGCCTAGGTTGTGAGACAAAATGCTAACTTAAGTAAAATGATACATTAAGTGGCCCATAGATCATTTTGGGGTCACTTTCATAAAACTCACACGTTAAAATATACAAACTATAAATGTTGCTTTTAAATATTAGTGTTTGGTGTGCTGAAGTTTTTATTTTCACAAAAGCTATCTAGCAACCCTATATTTCCCTCTTTTAATTATTTTTTCAAAAAAAATATATTCAAGCAACTAATTCTTCAGAGTAAAAAACAGTGGTTCATTTACAGCTATCCAAACACTAACTGAAACAATACTTTGAAACCACAAGTTTTACCAACAAAAAAAACATGTTTTCAGAAAACATCATTTTATTAGAATATAATAATAAAGCACATTTACACTCGCTAACCCCAACGCTTGTTGTATACTATTATTGACTTGTGGGTATAAAAATAATAACAATAATGCAGATAATGTAGTTCAAAGTAGGAAGAACGCATATTTGAAACTCTATCAGTGGGTTTAAAGCCATATCAATAGAAAGCCATATATTCGATAACATAGAGACATACCGATTTATCTGTCCTGGGAGTATCAGTGGGTTTAAAGCCATACTCCTCTGCATTCACCACAAAGTTGAAACTCTCACGTGACACACCTGCAATAATACAGAGCATAAACTCACTCTAGCCTCACTTTTCTCCTAGGGTATGTTTGGATACCGGAAAAATGCTAGGAAAAAGGGGGATGCTTTAGTACAGGACAGGGGTAAGGCTTCGTACATCCGACCCTCCCTTACCCCACCGTAGGTGGGAGCCTTTGTGGCACTGGGGTAATGTTGTTGTTGTAAAGGGGGGTGCTATCTGCAGCTGTTTTCTTAATGTTTGGGGTTACCACAGAAAATGAAAAAGAAAATTAAAATGCAATTTTTTTATATTTAGATTACCATACATCAAGATTTCCTAAGCATTTATGTAATCCATATAAATAAAAAAGTACTGAATTATATCTATAATAAATTTATTGCCTATCTTTACTTTCCATGGTATTTTCTATATTTAGATTAGCATACATCAAGATTTCCTAAGCATTTATGTAATCCATATAAATAAAAAAGTACTGAATTATATCTATAATAAATTTATTGCCTATCTTTACTTTCCATCGTATTTTCTTCCCTGCCAATTTTCCAAAATGCTTTCCGTCCTTTCATCTTTCTGATAGGGACCTACTTATTAGAATAATATTAGAAGTAATAATAATAATATTAGTAATAAGGGTCTCTAGTATAAATAGATGGGAAGGGGAAGTAGTAAGGGTAGGCTTTTAGACGATTAGTCTTGACTCTTGGGACTGGGAAAGATCGGAGACTAAACATCTCTATCTTTTTGGGGGCTTCGGCTTTGGGGGCGTTGGTCTATGTACAGATTACTGTTCATCTTCTTCAATAAAGATTACCTTGTTCATTGATATTAATTTCTGTAATTTCTGGATATTTGGAGTTCCTATCATTGGTATCAGAGACTTACTTCCTGGAGACGGAGAATCTGAAGCATGGAGGAGGATTTCTACATGACACCTCAAATGGAAGACAGTTTTGCTAATATTGACCGACTAATGAGGGAGTCAAATGCTAGGTTAGCGACGATGATGGCTGATATGCAAGCGACGATGCAAGCTGGCATCGCAGAATTGCAGAACCAACTTAAAAATTGTTCGCGGAATCGATCGCACCCTTCGCATAGGTCGCACCATACTTCGCACAAGGGACACCCAAGAAATTCCGACCACAGAGAGCATGGCAACAGCGAACTTCGAGCGAGGAGCCCTAGACATCGTTCGTCGCAGTCGCTCACAAGTTCGAAGGCTGAGTCGCGAACTACTTCTCTTGACTCGCAATCGCGAACTTTTTGTCACTGTTCACAGTCGCGAACAGTTTCTTTCAGTTCGCAGACTTCCTCACCAGCCATCGATTCACTTACAAGAAAGACGCGAGTGAGAGAAGAATATTCATCTTCGTCGCTGAGCTATTCTATTAGTTCACATGCTTCTTCACTTGCGGACTCTCACCGCTCGTCAGCACACAGATCATCATCGCTTGTGGTTCCACACCGTTCGCAAGGGTCATCAGCTTCAAGAACTTTTGACATAGGCGCATCAGAAAAAGAATTCCAGGGGACCCCACCAACAAAAATGAACACAAAATTAAACCTGGTGGTCCCTTCAGTTACGGAATCAGACTCTGAGGAGGAGGTTGGGCTTGTTTCGGGAGAATCTGCTATCATTTTTGGAAATTTCAAACAGATTCATGATGCTGACAAGTCTAGTTTGGTTCCGGAGATGAACTGGCTGAATCTTTTAAAATCTGAAATGATATACTGTCATCCATTAAATAATTTTTTGGAAGGGCTGAAATCATTAAACAAGTTTGATAGTTTCAGATATGAGGGTATTACTTCTATGATGGGTAATAAAAAGGGGTTGGAAGGAGAGATTTCTGGGAATGATACAGAATGTGAGGGATATGTGACGGGTGTGGAAATTGTTAGTGAAGTGGTTAGGGGACTGCCAGTAGATTGTATACCTGTTCAAGATAGAAGTGTAGGTTTTGATTACAAGTTTCTTATGGCAAGTATTGATACAAGACACAAAATTCTCATGAAAAAAGGTATGAACTGGAAAGAGGACAATGTGTTGAGCACCATGGTTTGTTTGAAAGGGATGGGGAAGTACGTTGTTGATATTTTTGAATATCAGTTGGATCAAATCAGTATGGCCCGGGATCCTACTAATCAGGCTACTGTTAATAGATGGGAGGCTGTAGCAAATGGACAGGTGAAACTGAAACAAGGCTGGAAAAGTGAATTGTTTTCTTCTGATGAAGAATTTGTCTATCTGCAAGAAAAGCTACTTTGGAAGTTTTGCATGGATAATAGGCTTTCCTGTTCTTCAGTTAGGAGAAATGCAACTGGAATAGTGGATATCCTCACCTACCTGCTAAAACCTTTGAGGTTTTCCTTCTCAAATAAGTTGGCTACTGAAGATGCTGAAATTTCAAGGAGTGAAGCAACTGAAACTCAAAGATTTGAGTTATATCCTGTAGCAAGAGCTATTAGCACATGGAAGAATGAGCAAGGGATGGTGGGTGAAGATCAATACCAGCATGATCAAAGATACAGGCCTAATATTGATGATTGGAAGAAAGAGGAGCTAATGCTGTTTTTGCAAGAAGCAGTGAGAAGGAAGATTCAAGTCATAAAGTTAAGGATCCTGACATTTGAAAGATATTGGGAAGGAAGAGGTGCAAGGAAGAAGAAGCAGAAGATCTGGGCTGTCTCCTACCGACCACCTTGAGGGCAAGGTGGATGTTTAGGGGGGGAGTATTGATAGGGACCTACTTATTAGAATAATATTAGAAGTAATAATAATAATATTAGTAATAAGGGTCTCTAGTATAAATAGATGGGAAGGGGAAGTAGTAAGGGTAGGCTTTTAGACGATTAGTCTTGACTCTTGGGACTGGGAAAGATTGGAGACTAAACATCTCTATCTTTTTGGGGGCTTCGGCTTTGGGGGAATTGGTCTATGTACAGATTACTGTTCATCTTCTTCAATAAAGATTACCTTGTTCATTGATATTAATTTCTGTAATTTCTGGATATTTGGAGTTCCTATCACTTTCACATGTGTTCTTCGGTATCCAAAAGGGCTCTTAGTAAACTAGGAGAGCAACTAAAGATTGTTTTAAGTTCATAGTACATACCGTCGGCTGCATTAGCAGGTGTCCTATTTACTGAACGAAATCCAGAACAGTAATTTACTGACAGACCCTTTGATGCATTTACTGATCGTGATTTGGTGGTCATTGAAAGTGCACCTTCTTCTCCCTGAATATTAAGTAAACCATCATTACATACGGAGTATTATGTATGTTTTGTCAAACTACATTTGTTGAAGTTAGTAAAGTACATGTTTATGAAAAGGGGTAGGATGGCGGCATTAGGAGGTAACATACTTTGACCACCAAACCAGAATGAACACCTCTTCTCCTCATAAGCATTAAAAGTGGCTCTTCATAACCATCATGATAAAAGCCTGCAACAATTGCTTCCTTCCCTTGTGCCTACTCAGAAGATAAATCAAAATGGGTAAGTTTAGATTTTTGAAACAGCCAATAAGTAGTTATTGACAGTCAGTGTGGTCACTTTGGATCATAAGTGGGTAAACTGCAGAACCTAAATCCATTTACACAAAACACTTCATCAGTTAAAATTTAAAAAGCTAGTGGAGGGTGTAAAACCATAAAGGTCCATTTGGAGCACGGAAAATACAAGGGAAAGAAAATATGGGGAAAATTTGAGAATAAAAATGAAAAGAAAGGAAAATGGGGGGAGAATGGGAGATAGAACATAAATGCGAAACTCATTAAATTTATTTTAGATATTTGTTCACACGCAATTTATTTATTTATTTCTATTATAAATGCGAAATCTAAATATATGTAAGAAAATAATTAAAAACTAATCATATTTCATTTCATTTGCATTTTGCAAGGTATTACATGAGCTAAAAGCAGTTCATATAAATTTAAGGTTAAGGTTTAAATTCAGATTCATCATACCCTTACTAATTGTTGAACCTTTTCTGCAGTTGCCAATGGTGGGCGCTTCTTTATATGTTCCCTCAACCCAACTAAAGAATATCTGCGGACAATAACAATATTATTAAGAGCATAAACAACATGAAGTGATGAAACAAGTATGAAATTCCCATTTAGGCATGATCCACCAAATCAGTATAATTACATGAAGAAAGAGAATGAAAAAAGATTGATGAGTTATGATGAGTTAAATTTACGCACAAAGATGGGTGAGCCTCACGCTGACTTATGTAAGCAAAACCTATCTTGTCATCCTGGAAAACAACTTTGATGCATTAAACATGTGGTAATGAATGTTCTCACATATGAAAATAGTCCAAAATAACATAGATTCCAGAAAAACTGGAGGACCTCAAGAATCTTTTTGGCTTGGAATGGTGATAACTGTGTATTTGCACCCATGAACTTCAGCATTTGCTCTTCAGTGATGCCTCCCTGGACATAGCAAAGACTTTCAGGTCGCATGAATCATATTTACTAAACCCCTAAGAGATTATGTCTAACGTTAGACAGTTACATATCTAGGAAATGTTCCACTTTTGACCCGAAGATGCCCTTTTAACCACATTTGAACAATGCGTTAAAAAAAGCTTCAGACATGACTATAAAGAGCTTAGATGAGACTGGGAGGGGATTCATAGAACCGTGCTTTTGATGCACACCTGTAAACTTCTTACCACTTTTGGCCCTTCCGATCACTTACGCCAATTCCAGCACAATTTTGACTTGATTTTTGAAATAAAAGAATTAAGGATGAAGTAATTAGAAAATTAAACTATTCAAAGAAATATTACTTTGGGTGGCATCCAATCCACGCCATGAAGCAAGCAAGATTCACCATAGCAGGATCTAAGAGCAGCAACAAATAATGTGCTTCTGAAATACCGGGTGTTTCCATCATAAGGTTCGCCATAATGGGTCAACGATTTAACATCAGCAACTGGTGCAGGACCTGGAAAGTGGAAACAATTGTTATAGAGTTATGCTAGAGGTACAAACACTTTTACAAAAAGTCTTACAAAAGGGGTATGTGGCTTCATCACATTATTTAACACATCACATCACATTTACAACACTTTTACATCAATGGTAATTAGAATAGCCACATCATATGTTTGTAAGTTTTTTTGTAAGTGTGTTTGTACTTCTAGCATTTTTCATTGTTATAAGTGACAGTAAGGCTCCGCTTGGTACCCATAATCGGTATTTTATGTTGCTGAAATAGATGTTACCAAACACTGTTCTTTTTAGAAAATTCAACAGCTTCAAATTCAGCACCTTCACCCAAACAAGTCATACGGAATGGGCTTTGTATATACATACAGTTCATTAAAGCCGTCAAAACTCCAAGTACGAAGCCAATACTCACTTCTTAAAAAAGAAAGGCATTACCTGGTTCATCATCAAATGCAAGACAGTAAGCTTTCAGCTCACGGTCTGACTCCCTGTTCATTCGCTGTCCTATCAGAAACGCCGAAAGCAATGTCTCACTCACACCAGACAGTCCTCTATCTAGTGGAAGAACATCTTTCAGAACACCCTGAACCTCCTCATATCCAAGATGACCTCCAGCCAAAACTTCCCTCAAGGCACCCACAAGTCTCATTTCCGCAGTGTTGTTCCCAACAAACTGGGGTCCTATGGAGCTTCCTATTCCCATCAAAGAACCTTCTGGATCAGCTATGAAAATTATATCCGGAGGAAGAACCCGGATCAATTCGGGCCAAAAGAATTCCATAGCTCGCCTTTCCCCATCACTCCACTGTGTTGCCTCTGGAAAAGAATTTGCTCTAATAGTCATAGCCGCGAAAAATGCCCCGAGTTGGGCTTTAGATACTGCCTCTTCATCTTTCAGCTCTCCCTTAGCTGCCATTTTAAAACTAACTACTTCAAAACTTATTTGAAAGGCCAAATCTGCTACTGTAGATGTAAAAAAATTCAACAAAATGGGAGAAAGAGAATACTTATATGAAATCAAAGTTACCAGATTTTAGAATGGTCCGTAAGACTTTGAATGCTTGCTCTTCATTGAGAGGTCTAGTTTGGGTCGGGCCGGTGCAGACCTTAGCCTGAGCATCCAACACGGTCTGATTAGGAAGGGAAAACTGGGAATCCCGATATGAAGTTGAGATAGCCGGGTTTTTCAGCTTCAACTCGAAAGGATCCAGTTCTTCTATCGTAGTGGAATGCTGAACGGCCTTGACAGTGAAAGATAAATGACTTCTCCTTCTGCCGACCCAGGCGTAAGCCGGAAGACGGACATGAGGAAACCGGTTGCTGAAGCATCTGGATTTAACGGCGGAGATGGAAGGGAGCGAAAATGGGTTTGGATTTCGCAGAACGGCTTCCATTACTGCTCGGATAAGCGACGACTCCTTCGCTTTCCTTTTTCGGTTTAAGATGGTGACGCGCGTGGAATTTGATTGCGACGGTTTTTAAGTTGTTGTCAGTCAAAAAGGAGATCCGACCTTCTAATTTTGGACATCTCATAAGTCATTTATTTCAGTTTTAATTGTAGGACACAATTTTTCTTTTTTTGAAAACAAATAACTTAATTAATAATAAAACTGAGGACCAAATACAAATTCGTCATAACAAAGGTTACGTTGGGGTGAGACTCAGAGTTGGAATCACGCTTAGTAGCGGTTCATCTCGTTAACCCCACAATGTGGTAGACTTCATACACAGCACTGTTGTACCTGCTACTCTAATGATAATGAGAGAGCAAAACAGAGTTTGGGACTAAAAAATTTGAAAAGGAACATAATCCAGTTTGATCAGCCACTGGTAAGGAAATAGCGATTTGATCAGCCTCCACTAAAGGAACAAACTTCATATTCTCATCTTCTTCCGTTACTGGCGGTGCTGTCCAGACAGCACCGCCACTTCCAAGTTTTTTGAAGATGCTTCATCAACATCCATGCTCGCCTGAGCCTCCATCTCGCTATCTTTATCAGTCATCCGACGCTTTCTAGGTGTATCTCGTGTTGTGGTAGCCTCTTTTCCTTTTGCCAAGAGTCCTTCCACCAGATAGCTCTCCTATTCCCCTTTCTCTTGATCAGACTCTACTATTTTCCCCTGCGTATCGCTCAGTTTGTTGTCGCTAGGTATGAGTCATCTATTTCCCGGGTGCATCCCTCCCCTCCTCATGTCTGCTCGAAGCCACGGCCCATACGGTTTCTCTCCAATTCCCAACCCACTGTGCGGATTAGAGGGACAGAATCGATCAGCGTGACCAAGAATCCCACATAGAAAACAGAAGTTCGGGAGTCTCTCATATTTAAAATTTGCCCAAATCCAGTTGTCTCCCTCCCGTCTAACTTGTAAACGTCGGGTTAAAACCAAATTAACATTCAGAGTGACCCTAATGCGCATAACCAACTTTTCCTTTCCGCCAGAGTAGCTCTCATCCAGTTGCACAAACTTACCAATGTTGTTGCCTATTCCTCGTGCAGTCCTTGCCGTCATGTAACTTAGCGGTAAATCATGAACCTGAACCCAAAAGTCCGCATGGTGCAGTGCAATCTCCAAAGGTTTATCAGTATGTTCCAACTGTTTGATAACCACCAAATTTTGCTCAAAAGACCAAGGCCCTTCATCCACAACTCTGTTCCGGTCACCTTCATGATAAAACTGTAGCAAGAATTTGAGTCCTCGATTTCATCTATGGAGACCCCTTTCACTGGTCTCCAGACCATAGCCATTGTTTGACAAAAGGAAACAGTCTGAACAGGTGTATCAGATACCACTCTGGCCACCACCGCTAGATGAAAACCCTCTGTTTTCCCACCTTCGTTCTCCACCGGTCAGCCGCAATCACCAATCCCCTGTTTTCTTCCTCAGCAATTCAGAGCATATTAACATTTCTCGCGATCATATCCATTTCAAGCCAAAACAAAATCACCGAATCAAAACAAATTGGAAAAGAAACGTGAACACAGAATCTCTCAGCAATACACTTCGTTCACATCAATGGAAACAAACGCAGACCAAAACCAAAGAAAAACAACACAGTAATCCTCGGCCAAAACCAGCCGGACGAAAACACGGGACGGAAATCGCCCAGAAGAAACTGAGAGAAAAAATAAGATTACCAGACCCGACTTAACGGAATAGCGCGCACCTCCTCCTTGCCGCCCAGCTCAAATCGACGGTCATCGTCTCACCCTGCGCCGCCGCAGTCATCGTGCTGCTAGGGTTTTTTAGTTCGGCTATTGTATTTCTTCTTTTTTGGCCAAAAAAACTCAACACAACTTTTGTTAAAAATCAATATCTCCTGAGTTTGATTTGAGCATTCTCACTGTTTTCCCCTGGTGTTAATATTTTTTAAATTAACTTTCATATAACTATCGAATTAAATGATAATTGTCTATAAAATCAACTTTTAAAAGTAAAAAACAATTCATCATCAATTCATCATCAATTCATCATAACTATAATTCAGAGTTATTGATCGTTATTTTTTCTACATAGATACTCATAAAACAAATAATAATGAGAACTGTTAATAGAAAGGATTTACAATTAATAGTCATGAAATACATTAAAACACAAGTTTTTAACATTATGGGAATTTATTCGTCACGAATATAAAGTTTAATTTGTAATTCATTCAGCTCAATTATAAAAAATACCAAGAAACAAATATGGTATAATCATGATGATGAATCATCTGGAATTATAAAAGCATATATGTTAGAAAGCTTTCATCCGATTTAATAATAGTGTGAATAATCAAAATTCAGGGGTAAATAATTGGTTTTTAAAATGTAAGATTGATTAGTGATTTTGACCTAACCTTAGGGGGTTAGTAGTAATCATCCTATGATAACATGATGTTTCTTTGTTAAATAATTGGATGTATATACGTTCTTAGTACGCGATGTTAAATTTAAGGAAAATCGCACATTTAATCTCTCAAATTGTACTGATATTGAAATGTGTTTCACATGTTCTCAAGTGTGTAAATGTAATGTCTCAATTCTGCGATTTGGTGTAAATCTAGTCTTCGCCCATTGTATATTTCACCTCCCAAAGGACTAGAATTACAACAATTTGGACAATTGAGTAGCCACATTTACAAACTTGGGAACACGAGGATTACATTTTAATATCGGTATTACTTGAGGGACTAAAATGTAATTTTCTCTTAATTTAATGGTATATACATGCGTAGTATTTACAAAAATTATGTGTATAATCTTTTTTTCACAAACTTATCGACTATATATGTTCAATAATAATATAAAAAATAATAAAATTTGATTCTAACTCAATACATATTTTATTAGCATGACTAGGTGGTGTATTTGACTTCATTACATTTTATGTAACTATCACTGAAGTATCATATACTTTATTAAAAATAATAGGGTTTATTAACTTAATCTAGCCTGTTTTAGGCTAATAGCCATTTCTCTCAATTATAAATGCATAAATGTAAAATACAAAATAATATATTGTTCATTTTTGTTAGAGTTGTTTAAAATAAATATTATTGAAATAGAATTGATTTATTTTAATATAACTAAAGCTACTATGAGAATAGTATCATGGTGAGTTAAGTGTAAAAGCTAAACATAGGTTATTATGACTATATTCACTGCATTCAAGAAATCGAATTTTCTGAACAATATTTACTTAATTCAGATATGTAATTTATAGAAGTAACTATAATCGCCTTTTGCACCTAGGCTTATGCCTTTCACACATTTGATGGTCAATTTTGTTGATTGTCTTCCCAGTTCCTTTATGCTATGTAGAGCGTTTTACCGCTGCCTCACACTTAAATGCGCCTAAATCATGCCTTTTAACGTCTTCAGAACACTGCTTGTAGGTGATATTTTTGGCATTTTTTCTTTTTTATTAATGCCAAAATAATTACTACCTTTCGTCCTACTAATATTGGGACGGAAGGGAGTGACTCAGTTATTAAGAAAAGTGAGTTTGTGTGATTGATGTTAATTGATAAAGTAAGAATAAAGTAAGAATGATATAGGATCACACAAACTTTACCAAATTCAGTATGAGACAATTTCAGTGTGATTTCCCGAAAAGGTAAAATGAGACAATATTAGCCGGATGTAATACTTAATTCGGGAATCCTATCCTATATACCTAAAGGGAGAATCCTCCCTTCCAAACTTTCCGGCTTCTCTATCCCCATTTAATCCCCATTTAATCGTACGTTTCAATTGCTCAGTTAAAAACTCACCCTTGCATTTCTCTCTTCCTTCACACTGGATGAAAATTGCTCAGTTAACCCATCACACGTCTGCTACAATTTTTTCTATCAACCACTGGCTTCCTGCCACCCTTCTACCTTCGAAGCAGCTTCATCCCACGGTGCCGGTAGTTCTCCAAAAACCAGGACTTCACTCCAGGGTCGTCACTTGCCTTTCTCACATATCCTCTCACAGTAATTCTACGACGTCACCTGACCCCACTAAGATTAGCGTTATGGTGTTTTTTAATTGAACATCTTAAAGCTTACTTCTTTGTTTTTCTTCCTTGATTTGTTTCATTCTGTATTTTACATTGAAATCTTGACATTGAATTTGAATCAATACATTGTTTGGAATGTGTTTGTTAAAATTCTTCAATGAAGTATCTCCTGCTAAAACTCTCTACATGGGTGCACTTGGTTTTATCACATTTTGATGTAAAAAAACTTTCACTTTTAGTGTTGAATAGGATATTATCTTAAAAAGTAAAAACAACAAGAGTTGATGATGATACTGGAAGTTGGACTCAAGAATTTTCTACTACCATCTGTTATATAAAGCAATTTCACTCTGGAATTGAAATTTTGAATAGTCTACTATATAATAGACTATTATACAGTTTATATAGTTGACTTGCCATATCATTAATACAGAAAACAGGTAGAATTGCATGTCAATACTTTTGCATGTTTCTCAGTCAAAACTTTTACATTTTTTTTACTTTCTTTTATTCGTTTCTTTTTATTCATTCGATTTAAATGTTGTCCATTACCATTCATCATCAACCGATAACTTCATTTTCATTCAATTTCGAAGATGGATTTCATTTCGGTGATAGGAAGGATGGGGTGTTTCTGAACACAGTTTCATATAATCTTGGAGAAATGTCAAGTGTAGTTACTCCTATGATCATCTTCTTTTGTTAATTTTTTGCACCTTATCCTTTTATGTTTAATTATCAAACCGACTGATACATAAATGTCTGGTCTAATTAAACCCTAAAAGAGCACTCCTGAATGCACATATATACATAGGGTAGGTAAAGTAGTTAATGTTTATAAAAGTTCATATCATGATATTAAATTTCAAGTTCTATAGTAATACTTAGTGTACTTCAATTTCAGTTAAAGGAAACTCTGCCTAGAACTGAAATAGAATGTTCTATCCCCTATGGTCTTGAATTTAAGTTTGAGAATATCCTATCCAAGTATGTTTATCTCTTCTTATGATATATCAATGCTTTGCCAAAATTTCAGTGTTATCAGTTATATACACTTAAAGCAATACAATAGTGTAATGTTCATTCTATGGTATTCCTGCATACTCCCACCTAAATCACAACCGTTTGATTTAAACGGCCTTAGCTCCTTTTCCACGCCAATAGGGATGCCCCATGAGCTGCGGAAAAAATGGGTTCAACCACCGAGACAGGCTCCACCGTCTGTTGATTCCTCGCCAAAAAGGAACTTCAGCCCGCTCTGCACGCAAACGGCCGCTTCACAGCAAGTCTCGCTCTTACAGGTAAAGTAAAACCTGTGTATATTAGTGTAATTTTTTTTATTTGTGTATAAATTCTGAATAATACAAATAAATATGGTGTTGCAAACCCCTCTCTGGAGAGCGCAATATTTGTTTTTGGTGTTTCCGCTCCATTACTCCATCTTTTTATGCTACTTCATCTTTTTAAGTTATATCATATCATATCACAAAGCTACCTCATATCACACCCCCATTTACTCTTTCAGTTGTGTTTAATGTTTTTCATATGGCATGTTTGACACTATCAGTTATAATAGCACTTTATTTGATCTGTTTCAGAATGCTTGCTGCTAAGGATACATTTTTCTTGAGCTTTTACCATAGCGTTAATAATACCAATAGTGATATATCTGAATACATATAGTCCAGTTCTTTAATAAGTTTGTTATGTAGTAGCTTAGTTTCACCCTTTTTAATAAGTCGTGTGTAGCTTAATCACGTGTGAAACAATTAAAAAGATTAACATTTGTTTCTATGGGGTTTCCCATGTTCTCCGGGAGGCTGGTTTTTATGATTTCTGATTTCTCTTCTCTTCTGAACACTTAGACCAATTATTAATATTATTATTAAAATGGCGTTTCTTGCAGGTCTACAATAGAAATTGCTATTAATTTCATATCCATGTGATGATACTTTCTTACAAGAAATGTGCTGGCAGATGTAGTGTATAAACAATCTCATTGGAGCTGGTGTTCTTTATGATGCAAATGGTATATTTTTCCTTTTCATAAAATGCTATTTCGACCGGTTTGTCTACTTTTTTCTTTCTACTTTTGTAATAAGGAAACTTAAGTTGAAACTTTAACATGTATGGACTTGATGCTTTTCATGATCTTTTTGCTAGCATGCCTTTTCTTCTTGGGAGTTCTCCATGCTTTGTTTTTAGGAATAGTATCACCATAGAAGGTACATTCCATCTTTCATGTTCTTTGTTTTTCTTTCATTTTTTGACTCTATAATATGTTTAAACCATTGACACTGTTTAAACAAATGTAGCCACTCTTCATGGTTCAGTTGGGGTTGAAGTGTGTGAATCTTCTGGGTGAATGATAGTTGGGGTTGAAGTGTGTGAAGCTTCTGGGTGAATTATCATTCATGCCTGCACACAAACATCTGTGTGATAAAAATACTCTTCAAGACTTATAACTATGCTTATACTCTATATACGGAGTATTACGAATTAAAATTTATAATATGTTTGAATGGTTTGACCCTATTTTTGTTAGTTTAGTTACTAGCTTTTATAGTTTTGACACATTGTATTATGCTACTTTTGGATGTTTCTAATATACTTATCTTTCATTCAAAAAAATATAATATCTAAATATCTCATTCCGTGCAACGCACGGGTGGAATACTAGTTGTTATAAAGTCTCTTTGAATGCTATCGGGCTACTCTCGACCTCATTAGGCCTCATTTAAATGTTATCGGGCCAATTTCAATCATATTAGATTATTCACGATGGTTGTTGGGCCTTATCAAAAGCAAAATAGTGATATGGACCTCTTGCGAAGAAATTTAGTAATTAAATTAATTTGGATTATTTAAAATATTCAATTAATTTAGTTATAAATTGAGCATTTAAAGCAATAGACAGTTCTATTAATTTTTATTTCAAATTGTAAGTGAAGAATCTGATATTCTCATTTCTATTCACAACTCCCAATTAGGGAAATTTTCCAAATAATTAACCTCTTTAGGTTTACTTCATCGCTTGGAAGTTGGAACTCCTTCTAACGATAACATGTCTCACGGTTTCTTGCAATTTTTTAACAATGGAAAAATAATTAACTGGTTCAACGGTTTCTCTCACCTCTTCATAGTTTCATATATAAATATGCGGCGGTTAGATTACGGTTTTAATGCACCAAACCTCCTTGTGATATAGAAATTTAGGGCATTAACTCTCTGTGATTTAAAATATGCATCAATCCTCCCGTGTTATAATTATTTATGCGCAGAACCCCTTTTAAGAATAGATATAACAATTTTAAAATCACTTTTCTTAATATTATGATTGAATATGCAACTAAATTTGTCAAAATCTCTAAATGATACAAAACATTAATCATTTCTTTTTTATTTGACAATTAAATTTGTTCATATAAGGAATTTTGTGCATGATTAATAATAACACGGGGGTGATGCGTTTTCTAAATCATAGGGGCTAATGCGCTGAATTTTTATTCACAAGAGAGTTTGGTGTATTAAACCGTCAGATTACTTATTTAGTAAAATTGGGGTACGAATTGCAACTTTTCATAAATGTTAGTCTTGTTATTATTGTATTATGAGCTAGAGTTTTTTTTTTGAAAAATATCAGCTAGAGAATTATAATACGGAGTAATTAATAATCGCTAGAATGACCATTTTGATCAATCTTCAATACACATAATCACTTGTACAGCTTACCGTGTAGAGATAGTAATCAAGAAAGCTTGGAGAAAATAAGTATAGATAGAAGTATATACGGACTATGTTTTACTACTACTTGGGTTGCCTTTCTGGTGCTTACAGCAATGTGCTTATGTCACCAACTTCATTTATGACTTGCTCTACTTTTAACAGCATATCTGTTTCACATTATAAAAAATACAGGGTCTAAAAATAAAACTAACAAAAAAAATATTGCATCCAGTGAAACTGTGAAAATTCATCAAACTTCCCAAAATGCCTCAAGGGCGTGAGGTGTATAAGATTTGTCATGGTCACAGACAGATTACACCTCAGTGTAATGTGGTCCCTCATAAAAAGACTACAAGTGATTTGGGATAATTCATGCTCCATAAGCACTAAAAGTGCTTTTATAAAAGTTGCTTTCGTATACTATACGTAACATTTTTTTTTTTGAATTGCTTGCCATGGCAAATGGCAATGTTTCCCAGAAAACATACCTTGGAAGGAAGAATCTTCCATATATTTCTGCAACAAAACACAAACGATCAACTTGACATTGAACTTCTTAATGTAGGTAAATGCTGCATGATCACAAGTCAACTGCTACAAATGTATATACGGAGTATGAAAGAACTGTTAATATAGTACCATAATTTGGGCTTTCAGATCATTGTCGTGTGACAGAGCTGGTTGTACTGCAACTGATACAAATAAGTCAGAAGGGAGTTTTTTTTACAAAAAAAAAGTCCTAATTAATCAGGTAGGAGGAGAAACATACCTTGTTCATCAAGTGGAGGGCCACAGTTCATCAGGAAAGAAGTGAAACTGGGTGGAAAATTTGACAGAACCTCTTCTGCTTCACGATGTAATCGCGATTCTTGTGAATTTGAATCTTGAGAAACTTCATAGCTTGTGCTTGCCGGTACTTCATAAGTGTCAGCTGAAGTCATCTCCTCTTTGTTGGCCCTGCATGCACGTCCCAATAGCATTTAAGAAATACGATACCTTTGCGGCTTACATTTAATTTCATAAATTACACTTATTTTCACAAAAACACAATTAAAAAGTACTCCGTAGGAATTAATGGAAGCTAGATTGATTACTACCTGTGTGCAGCTTCATCAGAAGGGATGAACTCAGATTGAGAAGATATTCCAGAGGCAACTTGATGACAAATAAGTGGAGTAGGCCTAAGAGCCTCCATGTTTTCCTGCAAATAAGAATCAGAGTCAAAATGTTCATTCTTAAGCACAAGGATAGTAATAAGAAATTGGAAGAACAAAAGGAGAAAAGCAAGATAAGAATTAACAAATAAAGCAATGATTGCCCTTCAGGCTTGCCCCTACTTCATAGGTGTCAGCTGAAGCTGAAGGTAGCCCCTCTTTGTTAACCCTGCATGCATATATCCCAATAGCATTTCAAAAATACAATACCTTTACGGCTTACCTTTAACTTTTTAAATTATACGGAGTACTAGGTATATTTTCACAAAAACACAATTCAAAAGTAGGAATTATGGAAGCTAGATTGATTACTACCTGTGTGCAGCTTCATTAGAAGGAATGAACTCTGATTGAGAAGATATTGCAGAAGCAACTTGATGACATATAAGTGGTGTAGGCCTAAGAGCCTCCATGTTTTCCTGGAAAGAGTAATCAGAGTGATAATGTCCATTCTTAAGCATAAGGATAGTAATAGGAAACTGGACGCAAAAGAATGAAAGCAAAAAGGAATAACAGATAAAGCAATGATTGCACCTTCAAGTCAGTCATAAACTTTTCTATTTCATATATCGTCAAAAATCGTAAGCCGAATTTCTGAATCTGCAACGATGGAAAAAATAAACCATAACAGAGAAGTGTTAAACTAAAATTTGGACTTAAGGTCATGAACCCCCACTCAGGTACTTGCATCAAAACTGAAGGTACACAAATCTTATAAAAGAAAAAGCAACAAATCATTGATAATTCCAATAGAAGCCAATTTTCTACTCCTCATTAATTTCCTATACTTTAGGAAGGTTGACCATCAGACCTGTTTATCACATTTTGACACTGTGTACATATACCCAAGAGAAAAATTAAATTATGAGAAATTTCTAAAATGTAAGGACCCTTGCCTGGTCAGCATGATCCTTATAGCTGACGAAGACTGATCTCGTTCCCCTTGAAGGGAATCCTGATACACATGAGACCTGAGGCCAAGCAAAATGCAGCCGTGAAATGTAGTGCTCTTCCTGTAACATAGTAATACATGGTAGAATTAGAAACTGGTTAGATATATTATCATATATCTACATGTACAAACCCTCAAGTATCACACTCTGTAGACATATTTGTAACCGCAAAAGCTTAAGGAAATAAGGAGAAACCTACAGGGCAAATCAAACTAGTTCCATTAACAAATACGCAGTTGATTAATGAATAAGTGGGTAATTGTCATTCATCTGTGATCACAATAACGGCACAGAAGGAAAGTTAGCATGATCCAGCTACAATTTCAAACCTAGCAACAACATTTCTCCATTTCAAAATTTCACTATAGTTCAAATTTTGAGAAGAACATAGTCTCAGTGGGGAAATGATTACAAGGATTTTGCAACCGAGAGAGACAACAAGGATCTGATCAGTAAGACTGGTGCCCTCAAGGGCTAGTAGTTTGAGAGAGGCGGTGGAGGAGGAAGTATCTGATGCGGTGGAGATCCATTTGCCGCCTCTCCGCGCCTTTCGTGTCGAGGCCGAGTGGGGAACCAGAAAAGGATGAGAGGCGTGAGGAGACGAAGGAAATAAAACGAAGCGAGCATACTGGACATCCCATCGGCCATACACAACGCTGGGCGCCGTCGATGACAGCGGCTGCTCCGTCGCTATCCCTTCCAGTACACCCGCCATTTTTCGAATTTTTTTACAATCCCGGATTCTACTTGAACGCAGCTGTACTTCTGTACACAATTCACACCCTCCCCATAATAACTACTCCGTGACTTACTTAAATTATGTTCTACGTAATAACTTCTAACCTGTTGAATGTACATTTTTATCAGCCACAAAATAGCATTACGCATATAATGGTGCCAATATATAATACTCCCTCCGTCCCGGAATTATCCTCATTCTTTCTTTTTCGGTCCGTCCCAAATTTATCTTTTTTTCCCTTTTTGGTAAAGAATATGTGGTTCACAATCATTCTTACACATTTCTCTCTCCTCTGCATAACTCTCCACCACACAAATCGCACTATCTTAAAACCCATGCCCAGTCAAAACCAGAGTTAAATATGGGACGGAGGGAGTAATTAATTGCATAAGTAATTCAATAACTTTAGGATAATGTTTGACACAACTTTCTGATTGTTATGAAACTTTTAGTAATTACTATTACCTCTGTCCTGTTGGAAGGTTCCCATAGCAAAACGACATGGTTATTTAGACAGTAATTAAATAAAGTATTATATTTTTAAATAATTTTAATAGATAATTAGGTATCTATTATAATGTAGTTAGTATTGATAACTGTGATGTTATAAATGTATTATTTTTAAAATCTAATTATTAATTTGTCACTTAAGATTGTTAATTGTTTCCTAATGGGACGGATGGAGTACATGTTAGTTTTTAGTTATTGAATCTTAAAAGAAAAGATAGTAATTGTTTGATAAAAAGCTGACTGTTTGATATAGTTCTATTTGTTATACAAGCTATTGAGACTACTAAATGCTAAAAGCTACAAACTTTTATTAGATGTTACTCACTGTAGCATCTTAAAAAAAGTTTTTAAAAACGCTCTTAAAAATTGGCATGTCAAACTTACAACTATAAGCTTTTAATTAAAGAATTTTTAAATAGTACAAAAATTAGAAGGTATGAATTTATGTCTGCCAACCATGCACTTAAAAATTGCCTCGCCACCGTGCCAATACACCAATGTGACAAAAATAGAATTATTAAATAAATTAATATTGATTCAAATCCAATAGCTCTTTAGCCTAATTTTAACACAGTACATTTCATTGGTTGAGTCGATGGATTTTATATGAGAACTCATAGCTGATTACGATTAAAATTAAATATGCACATATAATGCACATATAACAATAATGTTTTTTTTTAAAATCTGGAGGGCCCTAAAATTTGTGGGTCTAGACAATTGTATAGGTAAAATGTCTCCTTGACTGATCCTGACTATACTCTCTTCGTCTCAATATTATCTTCTAATTTGACTTTACACGTGGATTAAGAAAATGAAGTTGTGCTTGAAAGTTGTGTAGAAGAGAAAATAATATGAACCACGATTTTTTTTATCAGTTTGAAGTTTATTATTAGAAAGGTAAACAAATTTGGGATAGCGTATATTTTAGAGTTTAATCTTCCCATAAATTTCTAATTTCCCAAAATACTTTTATTGAAAGTTTGATTTGTATAACTAGAAAGTGACTATAAAAGTATATTCAATCGCTTTAATGCCATTTTGTTGACAAGTACTCCCTCCGTCCCATATTTAACTTCGGTTTTGATTAGGGATGGACTCGGGCCGGGTCAACCGGCCCGGAACCGGACCGGCCCGCTACTGTGCGGGCCCGGACCGGTCCGGTGAACCGGTTGGTGCCCGGTTCGAGCCACCCGACCCGGTCTTCTAGCGGTTCGATCCCGGGCCTGCATTTTAGTGAACCGGCCCAGCCGGGCCGCAACGGTCATATTTAAAAAAAATACTTAAAGGCTCCATAGCCGTTGGGAGAGCTCCCAAACGGCTCTATAGCCGTTGGGAGCATAGGAGGGGGGTCTGGGGGGTTAGGGGGGTGGGGTATACAAAAAAAACCTATTTATACTCCTATTTTCTATACATTTTTTACACCTCTTCTTCTACAACTCTTCCTACTCTCTAAATTCTCTATTCTTTCAATCTCTCATATTCAATCATCTTCATTCTTCATCTTCTCCAAATTCTTTCTACATATATATAATTTATATAATTATTATACCTACTTATATATTAATTATCTACTTATAAATATATACTTATACACATTCATATTATAATTCTTTACACATTATATTATATATACTATATATAGTTATACATTATATTATATATTACTTATAATATATTTACACATTATATATACTATATATACTTATACTCATTGATATAGACTTATACACATTCATACATTTTATAAAAGTAGTTAATTGTTAGACTTCTCGTTTATCTATTAAATTACTTAATTGTTTCATTTGTCATAATACTATTAGTTAAAGTAGTTAATCGTTTCATTTGTCATATTAATATTAGTTAAAGTAATTAATTGTTTCATTTGTCATATTAATATTAGTTAAAGTAGTTAAAGTTAATTGTTTCATTTGTCATATTAATATTAGTTAAACTACTTAATTGTTACATTTCTCATATTAATATTAGTTAAGTGCTACATTGCTCATTAAAGTTAAAAAAAGTAGTTAATTTTTACATTTCTCATATTAGTTAATTGCTACATTGCTTATTAAAGTAAAAAAAAGTAGTTAATTTTTACATTTCTCATATTAGTTAATTGCTACATTTCTCATTAAAGTAAAAAAAAGTAGTTAATTTTTACATTTCTCATATTAGTTAATTGCTACATTGCTCATTAAAGTAAAAAAAGTAGTTATTTTTTACATTTCTCATATTAGTTAATTGCTACATTTCTCATTAAAGTAAAAAAAGTAGTCAATTTTTACATTTCTCATATTAGTTAATTGCTACATTTCTCATTAAAGTAAAAAAAGTAGTTAATTTTTACATTTCTCATATTAGTTAATTGCTACATTTCTCATTAAAGTAAAAAAAAAGTAGTTAATTTTTACATTTCTCATATTAGTTAATTGCTACATCTTCTTATATACAAAACGAAGTGGATATGCTGCCATATTTCCCGCCCAAACTACAGGGTCGAATCCGGGTCAAATGTGGGCAATTCGATTTTGGTAGGTTTGGTCAAAATTTCGTAGTTTTTGCTTTATATCCGAAGTGACATTCGTGGTCAATTTCATTACAGGAGCATTAATGGAGTTGGGTGGCATTTATTGCGGTGGTTGGGAGGGCTGAGGCTTATTGCACAGTGGATAATCTCAGTTTCTTTGCAAACCCTAAATATTCGAATTCACTATAAATATGGGTGATCCTCATGTCTCAGTTCACACTTACAAACCCACCATGGCAACAACCAAATAAATCCCTGACCCAAACAACAGTTCGTTGCATTCCATGATTAAGGAAGTCAACCACACGAAGTTAACATGGGCTCTCAGGGTTAGGGTGGTTAGAGCTTATGAAGTATCCCCCCTGTCCAAAGGAGGTGCACGAATGGAAGTTGTTTTCCACGATGAGGATGTAATGTCTCATATGAATGCTGATATTTTTGCAATATCTATGTATTAACGCGGATCTGTGTATTATTAACGCGGGTTTAATTTTATAACAATTCGTCTATCATGCAGGGTGACCGTATTCATGCTGTAGTGAAGAGGCCGTTCATGCATCTATACAAAAACAAACTGCTGGAAAACAAGCGTTTTAGAATCAAGAACTTCTTAGTTCTTGATAACTACTACAACTACAAAACAACGGAACATCCCTACGTTCTGGAGTTTTACAAGAAAACTACGGTGTATGACCTGCATGAAGAAACTTTTCCTAATTTCGTGTTCAATTTTCACCAATTTGATGCACTCCAGAGTCTAATGGTGGTCAACGACAAATTGCTGATAGGTAAATTTACATATCATTATAAAGAAAGCCTTTTATCATGGTAAGTACGTAGGGAAGACTCCAGTACAAACACCGATCGTTAACAACAAACCTGAAAAGCTAATTGAACTAACTTTAGAAGATCCAGAGTACGTTCCTAATCTTCAAAATCTTATATGGTATTGTATTGAGTTTGATTCCTATTCATTTATGATGAATCTCTTTTTTTGTAGCGGAAATCGAAGTGGATGCACATTGTGGAACAATTACTGCAAGCAGTTCACTGATTTTTATGCTTCTCACAACAAGGAACCCATCTACATCATCTTACAAATGGGAAGACCTAGACGCTATCAAGGTAAAAGGCTAGACGCATTTTATAATCTTTGTTTAAGCTTCTTATGAGGTTCATGAAAGAATTCAATTTGTACAGGTCAAGTGTTTGTTGGTACATCTTATGATGTTTCCAAATTGATAATAAATGGTTCTACCCCAGAGTTCGAAGACTACAAAGCACAGTTCGGACCAGATGAAGATAATACAACAATGACTACCTTCACGGCAAATTCAATGGGTCAAGGCAGTGAGGACGTTTTTAGAGGAAAGGCTACTATCACAAACATTGCTGATTTGCTAAAGGAACCGCAGGTAAAAAATTATTCAAGGTAGTCTATTTGTAAAAATAATCAGGTTTTGTAACCCACATATGTACGCAGGATGGAACCTATTGGCTACTTGGTGAGATTGTATCACTAGACAACTACAAGGACTGGTGTTACCTTAGCTGCCTAACATGCAACAAGAAAATCAAGCCAGAAGATGAAAGGTTTTAGATGCTTCACATGTGATACAACTCTTCCCGAGGGGATTTTGAGGTTGCATGATTTCTTAGGATGGATCCCTTGCCATTAGCTATAACCAGGCTATATGTAACTACATACTTTAATATGCCAACTTTTGGAGATACAAAGTTTCAGTTTGTGTCATGGATGACTCACGTCACACAACATTCACCTTATGGGATAGGGAATGTATTGACATTGTTGGTAAAACAGCAGCAGCATTGAGGAACGAAGTTGAAAAGTTTTTTCAAAACACTTTTAATTTACATTTGTGATGGTTACTCGCTACGATTTTCATTTTCAGAAAACTGGAGACCCAACCCACTTCCCAGAGGACATAGAGGCTTTAATTGATCAAAGAGGCATCTTCAAAATTCAAATCAAAGCAAGAGACGAAAGTAGT